AAGAAGAGTTCGACCTTGATCGAACGACGACGGGTTAACATTTCGATATGTTCGAAATAACACCCTTTAAGGCTAAGGCCTCCGCCATCAAAGATCGACAGGTTCAACCTCGTTCGAACTGGGACTAAGGCTAAGGCCTTCGCCATCAAAGATCGACAGGCTCGACCTCGTTTAAACTGGGACTAAGGCTAAGGCCTTCGCCATCAAAGATCGACAGGTTCGGCCTCGTTCGAAACAATATTCGGCCTCGACCGAAATAACATTTGGCCTCGTCCAAATCAACTTTCGGCCTCATCCGAAACAACATTCGGCCTCGTCCGAAACAACATTCGGCCTCGTCCTAATCAACATTCGGCCTCGTCTGAATCGTCCTTATGGCCAAGAGCCATCGGCAAAAAAGAGGGGGTCGACCCTTATGGCCAAGGGCCATCTCCAAAAAGGGGAGGTCGACCCCAACGGCCAAGGGCCATCTCCAAAAAGAAGAATTCGTCCTACCGAATCAACCTTCGGCCTCGACCGAAACAATATTCGGCCTCGTCCGAATCAACTTTTGGCCTCGTCCGAAACAACATTCGGCCTCGTCCGAAACAACATTCGGCCTCGTCCGAATCGTCCTTATGGCCAAGAGCCATCGCCAAAAAAAAGGGGGTCGACCTTTATGGCCAAGGGCCATCGCCAAAAAGGGGAGGTCAACCCCAACAGCCAAGGGCCATCGCCAAAAAGAAGAATTCGGCCTCGACCGAATCAACCTTCAACCTCGACCAAAATAATATTCGGCCTCGTCCGAATCAACTTTCGGCCTCGTCCGAATCAACTTTCGGCCTCGACCGAAACAACATTCGGCCTCGTCCGAATCAACCTTATGGCCAAGAGCCAATCCCAAAAAAGATGGGGTCGACCCTTATGGCCAAGGGCCATCGCCAAAAAGAGGAGGTCGACCCCAACGGCCAAGGCCATCGCCAAAAAGAAGAATTCGGCCTCGACCGAATCAACCTTCGACCTCGACTGAAACAATATTCGGCCTCAACCGAATCAACCTTCGGCCTCGTCCGATACAACATTCGGCCTCGTCCGAATCAACACTCGACCTCGTCCGAATTCACATTCGGCCTACTCGCCCGTCCAGATCCAAGGACGCGAATGACCTCCTCTGATGCCGCCATCCCGGCCTCGACGGCCTTCTCCAATTCTACCGCCTTCTCGATCGACTCATCACTCGAGTCATTGGCCCTGATCGAACTCTACTAAAGTTCATCCCACGGGGATACCACGGACCTAAAGATCGGCACCCTCAGCCGTGATCCAAACTAGTCGACCTCCCCATCCAAATTTCTCAAATTATGATTAATGAAGTCCGCTCACCGAGCTCGACCAAGAGACGACCTCGATAAGCGGAGGGACTTACTGTATGGGTCATAATTAGATTAGAGAAATTCGGCACGCGAAGACATAAGGTCGTGGTCAGACAGGCCAAGGTCGGACCGTCAACAATCGCCAAGGTCGGACCGTCATCAATAACCAAGGTCGAACTGTCATCGATAGCCAAGGTCGGACCGTCATTAATAGGCGAGGTTGGACAGGCCAAGGTCGGACCGTCATCAAACAGCCAGTTTGCTTTGGAGTACTCAAAAGGAATATTCTGCCGAATATTCCCTCTAAATTGTACCCTTTTTTAGGATTTTCTATGGATATCCCCCTTATAAATAGAGGGGTNGCAAAAGAAGAAGAGTTCGACCTTGATCGAATGACGACGGGTTAACATTTCGATAAGTTCGAAATAACACCCTTTAAGGCCAAAGGCCTTCGCCAAAGAAGAAGAGTTCGACCTTGATCGAACGACGACAGTTTAATATTTCGATACGTTCGAAATAACACCCTTTAAGGCCAAAGGCCTTCGCTAAAAAGAAGAGTTCGACCTCGATCGAACAATGACGGGTCAATATTTCGACAAGATCGAAATAATACCCTCTAAGGCCATGGGCCTTCGCCAAAGAGAATTTGAAATGTTCCTAAGGCCAAATGCCGCCAGAAAATATAAAGGGAAAGAAAGATCGGGACTCGCCATGCGGGAATCTACCTCGCACCAAAGTTGCGAAAAGCGAAAACATAGAAAAGTACAAGGCGAATAACAACGAAAAATTCTTCTTTATACAAAGTCACTGCGCAAATAGTCGCAGATTACATACGACCTGGATCAATAGTCAAAAAAGACAGCTATCTTTTCACTCGGCGTCACCATCGCCACCCTCTTCACCACCATCTCCAAGAAATTCTCCCTCGGCATCGGCACCCTCAGTCGCAATCCATACTAGTCGACCTCCCCCTCCGAATTTCTCGAACTATGATTACTGAAGTCCGCTCACCGAGCTCGACCAAGAGACGACCTCGATAAGCGGGGGGACTAAATGTATGGGTCAAAATTAGATCAGAGAAATTCGGCACGCGGAGACATAAGGCCGAGGTCGGACAGGTCGTGGTCGGACAGTCACCAATTGGCCGAGGTCGGACAGTCATCAATTGGCCGAGGTCGGACAGTCATAATTAAGGCCGAGGACGGATAGGCCGAGGTTGGACACTCACCAATAAGGCCGAGGTCGGGCAGTGATGAAACAGCTAGTTTGCTTTAGAATACTCAAAAGGAATATTCCCTCTAAATTGTACCTTTTTTTAGGATTTTCTATGGATACCCCCTTATAAATAGGAGGGGAGGACTCCCAAAAGTGGGGGGGGGGGGGGGGGAGGCTCTCTCTCCCTCTCCCTCTCTCTAGAAAATATGTAAACACATATCTCTGGAGGATCTGTGATCCCATACCTTTATCGGATCCAAAAAGGGTCATAAGGTTCTCAAATTTGTCTATCATTCGTCTTTATTAAATGAGAGAAGATCCGTCTCATTGAAGATTGGGTGATTCTTTTCCTTTACTTACATTTTATTGCCACTCAATGTTACTTAATGCATCTTTCTTTATGCTATTAAATCTGGCCATAATCACGGCCAATATTTATACTTGGCTATGTTTTTCTATTCATATTATTCATCTCGGATCTAGAGTTAATTATCTTTAACTAGGATTTACCCTTTCATTTTCTTTGAATGATTTGTTCAAAAAGGTTCCGATAGGCGATGTCGGTCTCCAGTTGGATGGTTTGAGCCGGGAGAGGCTCGGTTATTGGGTACAGATTTAATTCAGGAGGCCTTGGACAAGGTCAAGACCATTCAGGACAGGCTTCGTTCAGCTCAGTCGCGGCAAAAGAGTTATGCGGATTGTAAGGTTCGAGATGTAGCTTTCATGGTTGGTGAGCGGGTCTTGCTCCGAGTGTCGCCTATGAAGGGCGTGATGAGATTTGGGAAGAAGGGCAAGCTTAGCCCTAGGTTCATTGGCCCATTTGATATTCTCGATCGTGTGGGAGAGGTGGCTTATAGACTTGTTTTGCCGCCTAGTTTGTCAGTCGTACATCCAGTGTTTCATGTGTCCATGCTTCGGAGGTATCACGGCGATCCAGCCCACGTGTTAGATTTCTGCATGTCCAATCTACAGCCTCGGTCGCAGCCCGGTCTTCCTCCGTCATCAGATGATGAAGGTAGCTTGCAACCCCGACCGGGGGCCCCAGAGCCCGGACGTCTTTGGGGATAGCAAAAGTTACTATCCTGTTACAGTCCGGGTCCAGGCTCGGAGCTGGGAACCTATCAACAAGCTTGTTGACGGCCGAAGTCCCACTTGATTCGGCCTGAAGGTCTTTCCGGGGGATTTCGAGCCCGAAAGTGTTGGCGGACTACCTCCCATCATCGGGATGTCGTCCGGCAGCTGCCCCCAAGTCGAGGAAGATGGAGAGGACGTAACCGGGTGATCGGTACCCGGGGATGCCCGCGCGGGGGCCGAGGGTTCACTAGCATATCTTTTGAGTCAAACAAATACTAAGCTTCTCAAACGGCAGAAAAATGAGCCCAAAAACTTTCATCTAGATGATGTCAAAAGGACAGTGCCACTTCTATAAATTGATACCTTCGATTTTTGCTGTGCCTATTTTTGTAACATCCTTTGGAGAACTTAGTTTTGAGTTTGGAATTAGAGAGCTCATAGTATAAGATATTGAAACGTAGTTATTATTTATTTTGTTGTAATAACTCGTTGATTTGGTTTTGAACGTAGCCAAGTGCAACTAGGTACGCGACCACAATGCTGTGAAAATGAGCTAAATCAGTTGTTATAAAAAGTAGGGCTTCAACTTTACAACCATTCTGTTGTATCTATTTCGTGCTTCAGAAGGAAAATTTTAGTAGTGCAATTAGTTGATTAGATAAATTTTTACTTTGTTTGGGGACTCTTGTAACTCCCTTCCCTATTCCCGCTCCCCCTCCCCTATATAAAATTAAATTAAAAATTAAAAATAAATTTCCCTGCCTCTGGACTACTTCGACATCATTTTAAAAATTGGCAGAACCACTACACAATTTATTTTTTTTAAGAAAATAAAATCTACTACAGTATTCCTGGTTTCTCTTTCTAAAAAATAAATAAAATTTTCTTGATTTACTTCGAATCACAGCGCCATCTCAACAGTGAAAAATACAGAACAGAATGTTTCACATGCTCACAAGTTTTCTTTAAATATGGGATTCATGATCCGAATACACTCTATTTGCAGACAAGGCTATAAAACATTTAAGTAAGAAAAAACTAAATTGTCTGAGTCCCTCGCCAGACGATTGTCTGACGGCGAATATGTCATTCACCCTGGCCTCCGCCTTCTTATCCCCGGCGTGGGCGATGACGAACTTGTTGGCCATTTCCTCGAAAGTTGTTATTGAACGTGTCGGTAATTGTGAGTACCATGTTAAGGCTCCCCCTATGAGGGTTTCGCCGAACTTTTTCAGCAACACTGATGGTACCTGCTCTTTTGAGAGGTCGTTGCCTTTTATTGTTGTGACGTAATGAATGATGTGATCTTCGGGATCTGTTGTGCCGTCGTATATCTTCTAATATGGTGGCATTTTGCAGGTCTTGGGTATGGCATGTGGGGCTGCCTCCTTGCTGTACGGTTGCTCGACGAACCGGCTGACGTCCCGTTTGGTAGCAGTTTCGGGGCGATCGATATCTTATCAACCCTTTCTTGGTTCTCCCTCATTTGGTCTCAGAGCGCTTTGTTCTCGTTCTCCATTTCTTCCATTTTCTTTAGAATGGCCGCAAGTGCGTCATTACTTGCATCAACAACGGTGTGAGTGTTACCTGTTGGGAGAGGAGCGGGAGCAGGTTGCTCGTTGGCGGTTGCTGTGGTATCCGCTCGTGCGAAGCTTCTACTCGCCCCTTGAACGAGTTTGTCGAGTATGTTGTTTAGATTACTTGTCAACCACACCTCCAGTAGTTTTTTCACTGCTGGTGGCGCTTCCTCAGTTGTGGACATGGAGGCTCTCCTTTCGAGTGAAGCGGTTATACTTCAATGAGGGGGAGGTGAGTCACTCCGCTTGGGTGTAGCGCTCGGCGTCACATTCTCCTCGTCTTCTCTGTCAACCTCATCGATGGTGTTCAAGAGGTTGGCAATGACGTCTACTACTGCTTTCAGTCTTTCATCTCCTTTTCCTACCATTGTTAGTTCGTGCAAACGAGAAAAAGATGGTTGTTGTCGTTTTTTTTAATCTAGAAGAAACTAAAATTTTAACTGGAAAATCCCCACAGACGGCGCCAAATTATTTTACCGAAAAAGTGTTAAACCTTTTCTTAAAACGAATTAATAAAAAAATATGGGGTGAATCCTAGTTAAATATAATAACTACTAGATCTGTGGACTTAATGCTTTAACGATGTAGGATCATGTTCGATAATATTAAATGCCGATTAAGAGTGCTCAATGATTGTCAATGAATGCAATAAAGAAAGCCTGCAATGAATGTAGATAATGGCAATAAATGTAATAAGAAGGAACTTGTCACCCAATTGTTAGATGACTTGTATGATTCTCCTTCCTGACAACAACATGGGAACAATATAAAATGAAGGTGGACAAGACATCCTTGGATCTTGTGAGTAAAAGATATATGTTGAATAATGGAATCAGTGGACAAGACAAGCTTTCTATATTTTCTGTAGTCAACCTTTACAGTGTGTTCTTATCCCAAAAGTGAAGATTTCTTTTTTGTTCTTTATCTCTTCCTATTTATAGGGGATATTCCTAAGAAACCCTAAAAAGTACAGCTGAAAGAATATCCAATGGAATATTCCTTCTTTCTATTCTAAACTTATTCTACCGTTGCTTCCGTACACTTTTTACTTGACCTTGGCACTAATCCTTCTTAAGACGACTCCTCGCCATTGTGCCGTAGTCGGCTTAATCCTCGACCATGTCCATTTGCAGTTACTACGTCGTCCAAATTTTGACCAATACAGAGCCGCGAGGCGGTGTCGACTAGAGGCTAGAGGTTTGGAGACAGACCCTGGAGTCTAAAGGTTTCAAGTTGAGCAGGACTAAAACAGAATACTTGGAATGCAAGTTCAGTGACGTGACGGAGGAACAGACAGTGACGTAAGGCTTGATTCACAAGTCATCCCCAAGAAAGGGAATTTTAAGTATCTTGGGTCAATTATCCAGGGAAACGGGGAGATCGACGAGGATGTCACACACCATATAGGGGTGGGATGGATGAAATGGAGGTTAGCATCTGGCGTCTTGTATGACAAAAAAGTACCACCTGAACTTAAATGTAAGTTTATAGAGCGGTGGTTAGACCAGTCATATTGTATTGGGCAGAGTGTTGGTCAGTCAAGAATTCTCATATCCAGAAGATGAAAGTAGTAGAAATGATGATGTTGAGGTGGATGTGCAGACAGACGTAGGTTGGATAAGGTTAGGAATGAAGATATTTGGGCAAAGGTGGGGGTGGCGCCCATGGATGACAAGATGCGGGAAGTGCGGCTTAGTTGGTTCGGGCACGTGCGAAGGAGAAGCCTTGATGCCCCGGTTAGGAGGTGCGAGCGGTTGGTCTTGCCAGGTATGAGAAGATGTAGAGGGCAACCTAAGAAATATTGGGGACAGGTGATCGGGCAGTACATTGCGCGACTCCAGCTAACCGAGGAAATGACCTTAGATAGGAAGGTTTTGAGGGCGAGTATTAAGGTCGTAGGTTAGTAAGTAGTGGAGCGCTTTTCTTCCCCGTTGAGGGTGTTAGGATAATTGTTAGTGTCTTGCTTTAGTTTGATAGTGGTACTTATTGTGTTCGTACTGTTTTATGTGCTCTGGTTGCCTAATAACTTTCCGTTGTTTTGATTATCGATACGGCCTTTTCCATTTATTTTTTGATTCTTAGGTTGCTGGCATTGTCTTTCTGGCGTATGTTGTTGTTACTGTTTCATTGCCTTTTTTTCATCTTCTTGTGCTGAGGGTCTTTCGGAAACAGTTTCTCTACCCTCCAGGGTAGGGGTAAGGTTTGTGTACACACTACCCTCCCTAAAAACCCCACACGTGAAATTATTCTGAGTTATTATTGTTGTTCATGATCATCATATGCAAACCTCACAGTCGAAATACATACCAAAAGTTACAAAAAGTGTATGTAAGAATTTCACTGATTTGCTAATAATTCAATATGCTAAGAATTCTCTAAATCCAATTCAAATATGCTAGGAATTCTCTAAATCCAATTCAAATATGCTAGGAATTCTCTAGCTCCAATTCAATATGCTAAGAATTCTCTAAATCCAATTCAAATATGCTAAGAAATATTAACATATATGCCAATATGCTAAGAATTAATTCTAACAATACAAATAATTACCTTTCCAATTCTCAACAAACACAATAATATTCATAAAATGGAATTTCATTAATATGCTAAGAATTCTCTAAATCCTCTGATTCCATTTGATCATCATTCATTACTTGAAATTATAAAAAGATTTATCGAAAAGATATTAAAAATAAAGGGTAAAAAAACTCCTAAAATCCTCTGTTTTTGGGGGGGTTCTAAATAGAGTTTGAAACCCTATTTCTTGAATTAAAGAAATGAAATTAGAACACTTAGAAAATAACCTAAATTTACATAATCCTGGCATCACTTACGTCAAAGCGAGAACCTTTTATCATCATAACCTTAAACTCCTCGAAGTTAATCATTCCATCGCCGTCGCAATCCACGCCGCTAATCATTTTCCGGCACTCCGCCAACGAGCAATCCTCCCCGAGGCTGCGGAGGACGGTTTGCAGCTCCTCGGCGGAGATGGAGCCGTTCTTGTCCATGTCAAACACCGAGAATGCGTCCTTAAGGTTTTCCAGTATCTTAAAAACAAAGAACAATGAGATATTATAATATTTTTTTATTTAGACTAATTTTTTATTTCTTATACTTGTATATTTGCAATTATCGAAAACAACCTCGCTATCTTCATAAATTAGGAACATTACCCTCTTCAAACTCCACTTGTGGGATTAAACTGAGATTTTTTTATATATATTTGCAATTAGAGGATTCTTGTTTGTCTCTTAGTGAAATTATGTTGATGCCCGGTACTTTAAAATTTAAGGACATTTTGACAGATATGTTAAATAACATAAGACCTTTTCACCTCCTTGAGCAAGGGTGGAGACAGAATTTTTACTAAAGAGGTCAAAATATATAATGAAATAAAGCCACAAAGAAAATTAAGAGAATCCACAAATAATATATATATATATTAAAAGAATTTACCTAGCTACAGTACTTTTGAGAATTTTTTTTTTAAATTTACGTGATAAGCCTTTTACGTCGCCATTACTTAGAAGGAGTGGAATAGAACCTGGCTGTGAGACTAGGCAATTATATGAATTCTCTATTTTATTTTATATGGTGATGTTCGATTATGCACAAAATTTAAGATATAAAAAAAAGATTTTTGCATTATACTAAGAGCTTCTTAGTAATATTTTTAATCTTAAACTTGTCGTGACGTTTATGTGGCAAAAAGAACTATGTCGTTAATTATAAAATAAGACTTTAAAGTTAAAAGTTTTCGGAATGTATCTAATTTTCTTAACTTGTTACGAATGCCACGTAAAATTAAATATATACAGTACTCTATTTATCAGGTGAAGATCGTAACAAGAACAAATTAAAAATATATAAAGATCAAATAGTTCCAAATTATAAAAATATGTCTTTTTTTTTTTGTAACGTACAAAAAAATGCCAAACAAATCAATGAATCGGGGTACCTCATCGGGATCGACATCCTTTGTATTAAGCTCAATGAATTCCTGCAAATCGATGAATCCATCGCCGTCGGCGTCAACTTCACGGATCATGTTGAGCAGCTCCTCCTCCGTCGCGGCGTTGCCGAGGCTGGCCATTATTGACCCTAGCTCCGACGAGCTGATTTTCCCGTCGCCATTCACGTCAAATTTCTTGAACACCTGTTCTAATTCCTCTTCGATTCTAGCACGTGAATTAATCGACGATGACCTCGAAATCACTGGTGTTGGATCGTTGTTATTCGCTTTGGCTACGCGCTTTTTCTTGATTTTGAACAGAGATTTCAATTCCATATCAAGATTGAATTTGAACAAATCAATGAACTGAATGAAGAAAAGGGTACGATGAGAATGAGGAATAATGAGTTTGTGGGAATGTTTTTCTCAAGAAGATTAGATAAAGAATTGAGAGAAAGAGATAATTAGGGATCTTAAAAGAATCTTTCAAATTTATGTTTGTTTTAGAGACCTTTTAGAATTAGAAGTTGAGATTTTGGTGAATGTTTTTAGTATATTAGGAACGTTACGTGCATGCACGACAAGGACTACGTTGTCCGTACAATGCGGACAAAAAATATGGATTGACTGTAATTTAAAGGCTACAAGTGGAACATAATCCCATTTTTTTCAACTATTTAAAGGAAAATATTAATTTTTGATTTCTTATTTATTACCTAATGATTTTATAGTAATTTATTTATGCAGACTTTAATATATTGTTTAAAGAAGTAATTTTGATTGAGCTTCTTAACAGATAAATTCATTATGGTAATTCAAATGGATAAAGTTTTTTTAAAAAGTTATCTTCATGAATATTATTTTAACTGATTCCTTAAAATACGGGATTAGAGGATGAGATCTATTTCTAGAAAGAAAAAAACAAGAGAGAGGATGAGATCTGTTTCACTTATTTCGATATTAAAAACAAATTAACCTTTTTTGTAGTTTTACTTCCTGAACCGTACCCTTAACCATTTATGCTTTGGTTTCATTTATGATTTTTTTAGAAAAAAAAAACATCTGTACATCCAATAACCTGAAGACAATTGCGGAAGTTTTTATAGTTTAGTATGATAAAAAATGAAAGAAATTAATATCATTAAATAATTTCTAAACTTGCTGTTTGGCTCAAAAGTTAACGATGTACTTTGTAAGCGATAAAACAATCAGAAAATAGAGAAGGGGTAAATCGTAATCAAATATAATAAACCTAGAGATGCAAAGATGATAATATTGTTGTAGATCTAGTGTTGCAAAGATGATAATGTATGTTCATAAGATATTTTCGTCAGAAGTAGAGATATAGAGAGAGAAAGACAGAAAAGGAGAGAGTTGTATTAGATCAGCTGCCTCTCTTTACAATGTGGAGGTCCCCTTTATATAATAGGAGACCTTCCTCGAACGAATCAAAAAGTTACAGAGATAGGTAACGTCTCCCTAGTGTAGACGCTGAGTTCTAAACGACGTCGCTTTGGTCCTCACGGCCGAGTCGTACCCGCTACGTTTAGTCGGTGTACACTCATTGAGCGTACCTACTGGCGTAGAGATACTGAGGGTCAAATTTGACCCTATACACTTGCCTCCAAACTTATCTTATCTAGCCCACCTATCCAATTTGGAACACTGGGTGGTAGATTTTATTACTTTTCGAAATACATGTAGAAGAAGTTAGGAGACATACTTGCTGCATTTGTTAAGATTTTATCTTGATTTTTTTTCCATATTTGAATTTTACTTTTATGAAGAAAAAAATAGTTTATCATAATTGATTTAACTTTTTCAAAAAAAAATATAGATTTCTTCCATATTTAGCAGATCCCATTTTCGAGAAAAAAATATATACCTCTATAAATTGGGTATCTCTTCTTCATACACAACAAAAATAGCATCCACAACTGTTCCATTTTTCGTGTCATTTTCTTTTGATTTATGTCAAAACGACGGATAGCACATTTTTTAAAAATATTTTATCTTAGTCATTTTATTTTATCCTTATTGACATGATTATTATATAACTGCTACTAATTTTTCGTTAAGATAAAGAATATAAAGTAATGTGTGAAACTCGTATCCTATGTTATTAGTAGAACTTTGTCGAATATTTTAGGACTTTGAATTAAACTATTCAAAATCTTTTTATTAGTAAATAAAGTTTTTAATTACAAGATCCAAGATAATTTATTGCAAACACATAACTAATATTTGGTTAACTTAAAATAATCGTAGCAATATAAATAAAGTCTAAATATTTAACTTCGGAGTATTGCGAATATATTGTGTATAACTTGTTGATTAGCGTGATTGCATTTTGGTTAAATATGCTATGTTGGTCATTTCCTGGCACTTAAGCCTTTCCTTCCCTAACCTCTTTGTTAGTAACTAATTGTTGAAGAGCGTGTATAATACAACATGATGTAAGTTAATTTCTGTTGAAATATTAATATAGTTGTGCATTTGCTTGAACATGAGATGTTTTACTTTTTCCTTGCTATTTTACTTGCTCTGCATTTGGCTGTATTTTTTATTGTTTTTAATTTATAATATTTGTTCGTTTTTTGGGCAGCTTTACCAATAGCACAGTGGCTCCAATGTATTGGGCTTATACGAGTGCAGATGTTGAGATTATTGAACATTAGAAGCAGGGGCGCCGTTTTTAGGGGGTTCCATGGGGCACGTGAACCCATGCTTCTCTCCCTAAATCATGTATAGTAATGTTATATTTTTTTCAAAAATGCTTAAATATATGTGTGTGCAACCATGCTCAAAGTATTATATAATGTGATAGTTACTCTGTCTATCTCTCTACGTGAGGTTATAAGGTCAAATCGTATATCAATCTTGTTGTTTTTTTCTTTTGTTTCCCTAGAACTAGACGCCTACGGAAGTGTCACGACCCAGATTTCTCACCCTCGGGAATCGTGATGGCGCCTACTAGTGAAAGCTAGGCAAGCCAATCAATTAAATTATTTACCTTGTTTCCATTTTAATCCGTTAATAATTAAGAACCATCATTTAATAAACAACTGAATTTAATAAGAATTGAAATGCAATATTTTAATGATGCTACAAATACCAATCCATAAACAAACTACCCAGAACTGGTATCACAATTTCACAGACTGTCTAGGAATACTATAAATAAAGGTCTGAAAGATTAAAACGACACTGTCTCTGGGATACATGAAAGAAACAGAAT